GACAGACAGACAGACAGACAGACAGACAGACAGACAGACAGACAGACAGACAGACCACACGATGTCAGGCAGGCGCTGATTGGTCATGTGTATATTGAACTACTCGTCATGTATCATAATCCCTCAATCCTCACCTAAAATAGCATCAACATAGTCAGCTGGCTCTTCTGGGTTTTTAACGCATCGTTAATAGGTTGCAATAAATTCTCTCTCTCTCTCTCTCTCTCTCTCTCTGCTGTAAGGCGCCCTTCTTCATCGGAGTCTGTCCCATTGTCTTTCGCTCCTATCAGTCGACCGCACACCCGGAATATCATCATCCACAATCAATAATGCAAGATGGGGCACTTTCTTGTTTAGGTACTTAAGAGAAATCTTGTTACAATAATGCCAGTGGTGACGTCTATATTTTTATGCGTTTCATACTCACTTTAAATATGGCTGCATCCAATGAGCCCTACGAATTAGTAAAAACTTATATGCGTAAAAAAATCAGTTGCACTGCAGGTTAAAGAACTAGCAGTCGACTTCCCCTGAAATTTAGCTAAGGAACTCAAAGACGAAGAAGACACTAGCTTCAGAGAATGGTATTAGTGGCATGCAAAAGTTTGGAATAATCTAAGCGTGACCTTCGGAATGATATACGTATAGCAAAAAACAAACACGTTACTCCCCCTGTGTTGCAGACAAGCCCTCACGCCATGACTACGGCATCGATGACAGCATCAACAGAGTCGAATACTTTTCGAATGCCGTCCTGGAGGACAATTACGATGCCGCGGCCAAGTCCAGAGGGAGGGATTATGAGCTGCTGAGAAACGCCAACGCGGCCATCGTGAGTAGCCCATGTCCTCTCATAGAAGTCCCGATGTGGCAGGCCCGTGCCTCTCTGTGTAGCTATCACACAATATGTCTTTGTTTTCCAACATAGAATACGTTGAATTTTTAAAAATTTTTTAAAAAGAAGTATTCTGTTTAAAGTATTATCTTTTATGTGTGCTATCGTCGTTTGTTTGTCTACGTTTCAATTATCATGCTTACCCCATGTTCTACTCTCTCAGAAATCATAGTCTTTTTATTTATGGCAGTTACTACGGACCCTACCATTTTCGTGTGTCTGCAAAAGGCATCTCCTACATTGTGTCGACGAGAGCGTAGAACATTTACATTACAGAAAGAGCATCTCCTTGCGTGTTCTGTTCTCCAGTGGAAAGTAAACTGGCTATGTTCACTCACATTCATATGAATGGTGAAATGGTATAGGTTTAACGCCCCTATCAACACTATTAGGTTATTTAAGAGGCGGGGCCTCCGGGTTTAACGTCCGTCTCCGAAAGGAACGATCATAAGAATGGTTTGAAGAAACACCAATGGTCTACAGAAACGGGATATGCCTTTTGCAACGAAATTTTCCTTCTTGTAGACATCGGAAACTACATTGATTACTGTAACTTTCTTAAGTTATTCCACTCATATCGAAGACATGTCTCTTTTCCCAAACGTACTAGTCCATGTCTTGTCATGATCGAACTTTCTGATAGACTGCTGTATAATCCTCTTGTTGTCGATTTGAGGACAAAGAACACCAAACCTATTGTTAGTATTGCTGTGAACGTTATTTTTGCTTCCTTCACTTCTTGAGCAAGAATGCCTTCATCACGTTCTGCGAACAAGAAACAGACTTTTTAGGTGGAAAGGGGGGGAGGTATTTTGTTTTTAATCCAAAACTGGAATTGTTTTTTAAACGAAAGAGGACCTTCAAAATGTTAGTGCTCTTGTGTAATTACTGAAACCAGTTGGTATCCATGAAATTGAAATTTCGAAAAATAAGGAAAATACCGTGATGAGGCGCATAGACTTGTGCATGGAGATAATATGAAACATTTCTTTTCATTAAAATGTTCTCTTTTTTCAGGCTCATCAGGTTCCTCACTTTTGTGTGGCTTTCATGTGTTTCATCAAATCAAATTTTTTTATCTCAATAATATGTTCATTTTTACATAGTCTATTCTACACTATTTTGTATCATACGCTATCCTCTCAACGATCAATCTCTTAGGTAGAATTCCTCACATTTTCAGTCTGTACACATCAACTTGCAATTGTACTGCTTTTCGCTTTTTATTTTGATATTTACTTTGATACACATCCGTGAGTGCTGTCAATTCACCTTCATTATGCTCATTCCTCAATCCATAGACGTCCTCCACAGATCTCTACATGAATTGTTCAGTATCTAGAGTGAAATTCAGTATGTGTTGATACCTTTTATTTTATTTTTATCCTTTATTGGTCCTTGTTCCAAAATTTAAACCCCTCCCAACCTTCCCCTTTTGGCTCCTTGAAGTAGACTAGTTTTGACCTCCAGTATTCACCTATAAAAGTCCTTTGTTTAACCAACCTGTTCAGTATTCTCCATTTTCTTTTCTTTCGTTGGTTTTCATTTTTGATCACATTCCTCCGACAAAAGGGAGTGAACCCTTCCTCTGCCAACCTTCTGTTCGGGTGTCTCCACACATAATAAAACACTGGGTTTTATTTCCCTCCCAGCCCTTAGGAATGTTCCTAGATGTGAACCCAATATAGAGCCTGTTCTGTTCAGTTGACCAGTTTACTCCCATTTCACCTGGAGGCGTGTCTTACCTATTTGTGGATGCAAACAGAACTTACCTCACAGAACACGTTTTCTTTAGCATTCAGCCACCTGTTGCTAGAGTAAAAGCACTGAAACAAAAGTGTGAAAACAAACCCCCACAAATGAATTTTAAAAAGACAACTCACATGCACAAGAGTACAACCACTTTGCATTACCTCTTTACCACCCCATGACACACCTGCACCCTAGACCTTACCTGCATTAAAGACATGGCACCGCAAACTACAATACCTTCCTCCGTTGACTAGTCCGTAATCCGCACTCAGTAGCCACACCCCACCTCTCCACATCTACCCGAATGCTACCGTTCCGTTGAATGCCACCCAAAGTGCGCAACCTAAAAATGGACATTCCGTTTATTTTAAAGAACAACGCCACTATCTAAAGACGTAATTCAAAGCATCAGGATATGTGTGTAAAAACGTTTTCTCTCCATCGGCAGTACGTTGTTGAGAAGAGATCTTGAGAATTTAAATCTTAAGAAGAATTGTAAGATCATTGTTTTACATTTTAAAATATTTTAGTCGATTTCCGTGGTAAGGTACATGCGTTTTCCACTTTATTGAATGAAAACTCAAACCTGTTAAGTTTGCACGTGATTTGACATACCTGTCTAGTTTTCGAAGCCATGCGGGACCCTTAAGCATCCCTTGTGAATGTCAACATACCGTTCGGATTTCTCCCGTCCTTTATGTGTGTAAATTCAACTAAACCCGACTAGTTAGAGTCTAAAGCGTGAGAACCATGCCCCAGAATGCACGAAGCAAAAAAAAAAAAGTGATCGTGCATGCAATCAAAATACGATGCGTTTACTTTTTTTTAATGAGTTTCCCCTGTTTATTGTTAACCGCGCGTCGAATTGTCTCCCCCCGCCCGCTGCTAAGTAACCGGGTTTTCCCAATTGTCCACACAGCGTCCGTCCAGCCGATCACCGTCTCGCTCGGGTGAAACTCGGACTGGCCGTCAATCCAAACGCTTCCGGTCACTCCCACCGGTAGAAGTGCGGTCTCCCTCGCCTCCCCGGGCCGTGGTGCCCTACAGAAAGCAGGAGAAGCTGCTTCGGTCCAACTTGCCGTTAGCTCCGTCGCCCAATTCTCTCCTGTCTAGCCGGATCAACACTTACCTGAGGGGTTCCTCCATGCCCCCAGCGGCCCCGCTCTCCGGCAACACCCGCGCTTCTTCAATCTCGTACAAATCTTTCCTCAAGGATCCGCCCACAGCGTCAGGTTCGAACGACATGCGGTCCACCGTGTCCTATAGGTCCTATCTCTCCGATCCGTCCGTGCTCAGCCCTTTGTCCACAAGGAGCAGCTCCAAAGTCTACCGAGGTTACGTCCCCTCTAGCCTTACATACTCTCAGAAGTACCCGTCGTCTTACCGAACCCGCTATGATGACGACGACGATAATGATTACGTCGATGACGATGGAGAGGAATACGAGCCTGGATCTTACAGAAGGAAGTACAAGATCTTGAGAGGACCGGCTGCTCTAACCTATTCGAAGCATGGCGCTGAGGATGAAGACGAAGAAGACGAGCCTTACTATGAGACAGCAAGCGAGTATGGTACGTATTCTTCTCCGAGACCCTCTGGTGTGTCTGCCCTCAAGTTGAGCTCCTACGACGCCCCATATGACGGCTCGTATGATGCTGATATGGCTGAAATGTACGACTACGTTCCCTTTGGCCCCTCCCGACAGGGAATCCTCGAGTTGACGTCGGACGACACACCCAGCATCCGCCCCCTTCCTTCCTTAACCACGCCCTCTGTAACTCACAGATCCTCGCCCTACCCTGAAGATCCCCTTCCCAGTGTGTCCCTTGTCCCATCCTACACTAAGAACCTGGATGACTCCCTAACAAAGCCATCTTACGCCGACAACTCCATGATAGATTCGATTGTTTCCAGTACTGCGGCACGTGCAAAGGCAGTCATGGCCGAGTCAAATCTCCCATCCTACAAAAACGCCAGCTTGGTTTTAAGTGTTGAAGGAAGCGCAGTCTCTCCAGATGGGAAGAATAGGTATGGTTTCCGCTACTACCCCCCACCCATCCCCTTAAAGGGTTCCACCATAGGCTTAGATGAGAGAATTCTGGGCATAACCCCCAAGCCAACCACCCCGGCGGATTCTTTTCTGGGCAAGTACCTGGACCGCCTGCGCGATGTGCGCTCAGACATTAGGGACCATGTAGACAAGGGCGACTATCGGCCAGCCAGCCGCAGTAGTAGCGTCGTCCCCAGTCGAAGCCCCTCCTCATATGTTCACCGCACCATTCACATGCCGCTTAACATCGCAGGCCGAGAAAACAGCGTGCCCGTCTCCTCCTACCGGTCGCGTTTGGACGACGGCCAGTCTCACAGAGTGGATGTGTACCCACTGGTGGTGAGTGAGACCAGCGTGCCCGCTGGCCGAAGCTTCCACCTGCCCGTCTACCAGGCCCGAGGCAGCGGTCGCGGCGGAGGCGGAGACACCCCCAACAGGCTTACCGTGCTAGAGAAAATTAATATCAAGGTAACGCTTAGAGGTTTTCCGAGGACGCTCTGCAGGTTTTTCTGGGCGTTTTGGGTCCCCGGAAAGAGTGACGTACCCTCCCCCCTTTCTCCCTCGAATGTTTAAAAAACCGCTCCCTTATATTTAAAGACGCGCTCCCCGGTGTCAACGTGCCCTGCCCCTCCCCCTTCCCCCTTACTTTTTTTCAAATTTGAGGTGATAAAATCGAGACCTTATTCAGCCGAAAATCCAATTGCATTCTCACACCCTTTTTTGGCAAATGAAGAGTGTGGCCAATGGGTTACTCAGTTATAGAGTTGCAATTCCAAAATGCGGTCTGTGACTCCTATTTGGCTTTGCTTATCCTCTAAATAACATGGCCAGAGGTTGTTTCACTAAAAAAAATAGTAAGGGGACGAAACAAGAAAATAGAACCTTGGAAAGTATTTAATTTTTAATAACGAAAATTGTGCCTGTTTCCGGGGACCCAACGATTTATCTGTGCAGCAAACACTATGTCGCCATGGGACCGGCGTGGCCATGTTTTGATATCCCCTTTTTTCTTCCGTTCTTTATTTTACGAAAGAAGCCCGAAAAAAAAGTATAATTGCAAGTTGAATAGATCTACGTCTTTAGAAATTCGATCTGAGTCTTTGCCCTTTCAAACGAAGCGGAAGTGTGACTTCCTTGCTATCACATATTTATCCAATCTGTGGATGGACGTAACTAGTTTTTTATATCAAAGTAGCCACGTCGGTACCCCGCGCACAGTATGTTTGTTTGCCCTGTCTTAGCGTATACTTTTATAATATGAGAATTTATAAGTGCTTTTAAAGTTTCCTTGTACGCTTTTGGCTGCTTTTGTGTACTGGAAAGAAAGCTTTTGCGCTCTATTCTGCAAGTCGCATTTATCTATTTGCTTTTGTATTTTTCCCATTCATTGTCATTTCTGTAATTGGATCTAACATTTTAAAAAACATAAAGCTATACTTGAACTCAGAAATCTTTGTTATTTTTTGTTAAGTTGAATGATTACATTTTGTTTTAAGACAAGGAGCTAAGAACATGAGTTAGATAGATGTAAAAAGCAATGCATGCTACAAGAAGCATCTTTGTTAGTGCCTAATGTATCCATAACAGCTAAATGACCGCTAAGAAACAAGGACTCGGTTGTTATCATAATCATTTAATCATTATCATAGTTTGTTTTGAATGCTTTAACTCACAGCATGCTTAACTCACGCTTCATTCTTACTACTGTTTTGACGTTCAAGACGAGGGACGCGTTTATGTTGCTTGTAATCTGCGAAGTCTTACGTTCGACTAAAGAAAAATTACTTTAAAAAACAAATTACTGATTCACGTATCATCATTTGGGGGTTCCCATCATTTCATATGAGATCTGTGGTGGACTTTTCATGTAGGTTTTTATCCTTTTGTTCATTATTAGGCAGGTGTTTCAGGCCACTCAAGCAGAGCCTAGGAAGCCACTCCTGGCCCTCTGGTTTGACCTGTCTTTTCTACGCTCAGTATGAAGTGCTCAGAGATTTACATTTGTTTTCTGTCTCTTTCTTTTTAGAAAAAATATTCACTTTTTTGCTTTTTATTTACATTTTGTGACTACATCTTTATTATTAGTGTTTCATATTGGAAAGATTAAGGTAGTCTCTTTTTTCATACTGAAATGTTTACCACAGATTCAGATTAACGTTTCAAGTTCAGTGCTTTTTTGATGAAGCTTGAGTTTAAAAGAAGATGCATATAGATAGATCCCTCAGTCAAAAACCAACTGTGTTGCCAATTCTCCTGATGTCCAAGTATTGGGACTGTCTCGGGTATTGTCAATGAAATATAACGTATGCTTTACCTGCAATAACAACGTGTTTTCATGTGCTGCTGTTTTCGCTTGTGCTCGGCAGGCGCTGAGATATGTGGGTCATTTTGACTAAGGTTTTTTTTCACTGTGCTTACTCTTTGCTCTGTCGATAAAGTGCTTCCAACCACTTCCTGAACGATACACGCCTGCTGCCGTGTTGGCCTACTTCTCAAGCTGTTAAATTCAGCTCGTGCTGCAGACATTGCATTTTTTCTGTCAAGAATCACATTTATTATTTCGATTTTTTTTTAAAAACTTTTGAAGAGATGGGAATCGCTCACTAAGAGTCCAAATCTTCAGGACAGGACACCCTTTAGAGCAGTTAGGCTGACTGCATATTTTGTTTTACTTTTGAAAAATGGCTTTGTGGTTATTTTAAAAATCGAGCTCGATCTTTTTAGCTTTCAACGGTTAATCCCTTCAATTCGAGGTGAAATAAAGTTTTAGTCAAAATGACCTTTCGCTGAGCACTCGTAATGATCTCGTTTCATGGCTCTGTTCAGGTAGCATGCCTTCGCTTAGAAAGCTCTTTTAGATCCACACAATGCTTTAAAAGCTGTTTGTTGTCTTCTCATTGTGTGCTCGGCCGGTAAGTATCGCTTTATTACAAGGTGTCCGCGAATTCACTGTGCACTGAAAGGCCATTCTTAGCTCACCTATGGCATTGAGGGAAAAGTGTACCTCTTGGTATTGCTTCAGTAAACAAAACTGCAGCCATGCTTAAATTTGTTCGTCTAAGGGACAGTGGGACCTATAAAGAATATTCAACAACCAGTCTCCGAACTCGGTGAGAAAGAAAAAAACGTGCTGTGTCGACTGAACATGGTCAGTTGATTTCTTTGACTGAGTTCGTAGAACGATTTGTTGTTCGTGCTTTATTGCTTTGGTTTTTGCTAGGCACGTTTTGGCAAGAGACTTCGCGGACACTTGGTAGCTTCTATTTATACATCTAGTTGAAAAAGTTAATACGTACCAATGCATGTTTTTTTCTGTGATTTACTTTAGCTTTTCTCCAGCGTGTTAATGAAACAAACTATACTTTTGGTTGCACTTTTCTTTCTGTGTACGATGTAGACCTTTGTGTGAACTTGATACTCTTTCAAAGAAATACGTTCTTCTCAGGAATGCTGTGCTCGTGTAACGCTTGCTCTCTGTGCTATTGATAATGTGTTTGCATTGTGTAAGCAAGATGGGGGTTGAAAAACGTATGCGTTTGAGACGAAACAAAACAAGACCAAACGAAGACCTGCCGTTTTCCGATTCTCGTGACCGTTTTGCTCTCGTCCGTTCCGTAACATGACCGTTTGAATCTTTGAAATCTGCGCTGTGACCAATTATAACATAGCAGGAATGGCCGACATTTCCACTGCGACAAAATGTATCGAATATTGAAAAAGAATCTTTCAGACAGGAGTGAACATCAAAGAACACAGATACGAAGGCACTGGTGGCTGAAAACAAACACAAAACATAACAAATAAACAAACAATAATAAAACTCAACAAAACAGTTTGCAGAAGTGGATGCAGATTCATCGAGTGTGAGTGACGTCACGAAGAAACGCCATCAGAAGTGAAAGGTCCCCAAGGAGACATCCTACCGCTCTGCTCGGAGAAGCTTGGACGAGTCTTCTGGCATTTGTGACTTTGATCTCATGTCTGTCTCAGATTCAGTTGGTGCTTCATTCCTGTTTCAAATAGCCAGGCTTTCTTTTGGGCTGTTCTTCCCTTATTTTGGAGAGTCTCTTACTATTCTGAATCCTGTTCCTGCGGAGTGCTGTGTTGTCTTAGATATTCTCTTTGAACATTAAAAACTCCAAAGACGAATGTGCTCCTTCTGTCTCCAGTTAGACTCCTTTTTTAAAAATTCTTTTATTTCTTAACGTCCTTTTTTGGTCTCATTTCGGAAATTTCTTTTGGTTTTTTCAAAATTATTGTTTATCGATCATTATTTTCTGTTTTTCTTTTTTTATACCGTATCCTTCATGATTGTTTTCCATCTTTGTTGTAAACTGTTTGAAGCAGACATTGCATGCAATTTTATTGTCATCATAAAGTAGCCATTACTGCTTTTGTTTACTTTTTTCCTGAATCCCCACTTAGACTATTCCAGAAAAGACTTTTCTGAAGAGCATTTTTTAAATTACATTATCAACCCATAAGAGATGGAAAAGGAGAGGTTGGGTACTCTCTTCTTCCTGCTTGATTACATCTGTTCTTGCAGGCACCATGAGGGAAGGATAACTAGTGAGAAGTGCCTTTCAAACAAAACTTTTTTAAGGGGGTGAGGGTGGGCAGAGAGGGTGTCATGTTTTCCAATTTCACCTCTAAATTTGGCTGTTTATGAGTGATTAAAATTTTTGGGCTGTCTGACTTTGCTTGAGTATACATTGACTTGTCAAAATGATCCTAATCATGATACCTTCTAGGAGATGACGGGGACAGAAGTTTAGTTATTCATTCCTTTAACGGGTCTGTATTTTAATGCCTCATTGATAAGGAATATTGTTTACACACTGGTTTTTCCAAGGTTTGTTCTATATTTTCTCGTGCTCTCCTTTTTTAATAGATACAAATCGTCAAGCTGCTGTGATGCTTTCTACAGGAAGGATGAGGGAAAGGGGGGGGGGGGGAATTTTTCTTGAATATCTTTGTCTTTGTGCGGGGGTATAGGTACCGCGTGGGCCTTAGAGACTCCATATGATTATCTGAGCACCGTCTGTAGAACAGATGTGGATCTAGAAACGATTTTGAAAAATAAAACAATCATTAAAAATCCAATCTTGACAAACAATCTCAGTCTGAATCACTTTCAAGAACACACCTAAGAGTGCACGGCATTTGAAATATTTAGTTGGAAGCAGACTGAAGAAGGGGGACCACTCTCTCCTTTTTCTTTAGCCCGAAACCTTTCTCCTTTTTTAGATTTGCTAGTTTCTATTAGTTCTAGTTTATTTTTAGTTGTTTTTCTTTATCCTCGCACAGTTATTTTCTTTTTCGTTTTCCTCCGTTGTCTTTTCTGGCTATACTTTCCCAACTCTTTGGTAGAAGTCCCAGCTCTGTCCACGATGGACCCCCTCTGTCGACCTCCCCTTCCTCCTGAATGGTGACCACCCTCGTCCTCCTCCTCCCCGCAGGTCAACACGGAGCAACACGCTAGCCCTCGTAGCTCTGCCGTTAGCAGGCGTGTGCGGGCCAGCACGGCTCCCCCCGCCCCCAGGTCTGCCCCAGTCCAGCAGGCCCAACAAGCGCAATACTCTTCCTTCACCAAGGTAGAGAGGAAGGCGCCTTCCTCCTCCTCTTCCCAGTCCCCCGCGAGGCCTGTTTTGATCTATTTGCCTCCTCCTACTCCTAATCGTAGTGGTAGCTCTATTAATGTTAACCCCTCAGCTTCTAAGCCAGTCGTTCGGTCAGTAGGGGAAGTGCCTTGGCTTCTGAGAGCCCGAGCAGGGTCTGTCCCGCCCATGGAATTCGGAGCATCCTCCACTCTGCCACCCCGCCCTAAGAAGAAGGCGGCCCCGGCTGTTCAGCGATCAGCAGGTGTAGTTAGCACCAGCCAGTTGCGCGCCCACAGGCCGCCCATCGACTCGGATGTGCTGCGTCGGGCCAGAGCCAGGTCGATGGAACCGCCAAGGCGGTCTGCTTATTATTACGAGGATGTCAAAGAGTCTTTTGAAGAGCCGGCTTCCCGTTCGCAGGTTTCCACCAATGAGCTGTGGGCCCACAGGCCTGTTGTCCTGAGGAAGGATGCTGCCTTGCGTTCAAGGGCCCGTGCGCGGGAAGGGAGCTTGGCTCCAAGGCGTCAAGTGAGAGCCGCGAGCGAACCCAGAAATGTGGAGAGAGCCTCCGACTACTACTTCAGGATCCCCGACGTGACGGAGAAAGCCTTGTCAAGATATCTGTACGCCCACCGGGGGAGGTTTGGAGCCGACACGATGCCGAAACGCGCGTCTCTCGTAAACTTCCCGCAGGTTTACGTCCCCTGGAAAGGTCAAGGGCCAAGCAATAGATCTAAGGTGATTATCTTTCGGTCATCACCTTCTGAACATAGCCTCAGTACCCTCTTTCTTACGTAAATGTATTCAGCTTTGAAAATCTTAGCAAATGCAAAGCAAACCCTTCAGCTTCAAGATTTGCTAGCTTGTTGGCATCATTTGGCTTGGGCCACTATTTGAAGAAATGACAGTACGTTTCCAAAGTTAGATTTTCCCAAATAATGCAGCTTTGTCCCAAACCAATTGATTCGTATACTGTGAATCCTTGTTTTCTCGTTTCAGGTAGTAGGAAAATTACACAAAGGGCGGAAGGTGCTCTTCTTATATAAATAGGAACTTTTCAGCATTAAAATAATAAGTGAGAGTACTGCTTACTTTTTCCCAATTGTGAGAACCAAGAGGTACTGTACCATCAATTGCAATGTATAACATATGACATCACTTTTTGTTTGCTAAGATTTCCATCATTAAGAAACAAGGGTAAGAGGAAGAAAAAAAAAAGAATCTAACTTTCATTCTTTCATCTATTAACAGCTACACTCTTGATAGCCATGCTTTTCCGCCATGTTCTCCTGTGCTGCAGCTGTGGTCTTGTATGTTCTGATAGACGCTTTTGGCAATACGTGTACTCCAGCTCTTGCTCTGTCGCTACACAGCACTGAAAGTCAACGCTAGACAACGCCAGGATAATTAGAATATACGTGATTGAGATTGAGATTGAAACCTGATACATCAAACAAATTGTTCAGTCCCCACCTCAAGTGATAAAGATAACAATTAAGTATTATAAATACCCATGTGTTGTTTTTTTTTCTCTTTGTCGGATAATACAGTAGAGTCATATGCATACTCATTAAATCTAAGCTCTTTAGCAACAATATGCCTTCTCATCATTTTCACCTCTCTCATCGTCATTCTTATTCTAAGAGTGCAAAGCTAACAATCTTTCGCTGCTTTCACCATCCATCTTTCCGATAGAAGTGGCCTCACCGATATTCTACTGTTTCAATTCACTTTCTTGTAGCTTGCTGTAAGCAGAAAAGCCGTGTCGCAAGGGCTTTGCTTCTTTCTCAATATTAATGCCATTTGCATGTGTGCAAAGATGGCCACCGAACGTACCACCCGATTATTTTATATCCGAAAAAGTTTTGTATTTAAAAAACATAGCGTAGCCATGGACAAATATAAGACTCAGAACTGTTTTATTTAACTGATGTTGTCCTACACAAAAGTCGTCCTCAGTGTATTTTGTGTTTAGAGCTGTTTTGCCTTGCTGCATGAAGCAAAGGAGAAATACATCGGCGGGCGCATGGTATCAATTGTGTGGTTGCTATAATTTACATTTTTTTGGCTTTAATGTTTGCTTGGTCCATGATTCTTTTCATAAATCATAGACAGAAAAGAATAGTTATATGCGCAATTTCTATTCGAATCGTGCATTCCATACACCGTTCTTTCAAGCTTTTTTTATTTGTAACTTTCAGAGTTCTGTTCCGTTAAAACATTCCAATGTGTAGGGCAAATTAAAGTTTTTATTTTATAAGTGAATAAATCTAAATATTATTCCCGAAGTGAGCGCTATCCAAGGAGAGCAGCTTTTCGTTGTTTGAACCTTTGGAAGTACTAAACAGAAGTATTAAGGTGCTTTTTATTGAAATGCGTCTAAAAAAAAGTCGTTGGACTTTATCTTTTAACCGGTCACAATCGCGAAGCGTTATCGGTGGCGGTCTTGGCTCTTGTTTTGTGTCAATCATGTCGCCTCCACTTCTGCTTGCCGCTCAGGACGATGTCGGCGCACAGCCTTGATGGCGTCGCTGCCAGTCGTCTGTTTCTGTCCGTACTAACCGGAAGTGACGTGGATGATTGCTATAGTTGGTTGCCAGCTATATTTGGTGGAATGATTTGTGCAACGCCTGGAAACCGGAATGTCAATGGGTATTATTAATCACTAGTTACATATCGGTTGGTCACAAGGGGGTGGTAACAAAAGTCTCAATTATAACTGCATAAATTATATATTATAGGGCTTGATATCTTTTTATGTCAAACAAATAGAAAGTCAATGAGAACAAACTAAATGCAATATCCATAATATTGTGCAACATCTTATTTTGTTTATATTATTTGTATTATTTCGTTTTAGTTAGTATTAACAATATCTGAACAGAAAATAAACATGAATAATTTCAGATAAAAGAATAAGGCTTAATTTATATTTCTCACACCAGGGAGTTTGAAGGGTAAATGTTTCAGAAAGATTCTGGTAAGTAAACATAGGCTAGACTAGAGTGGCCAACCGTACGTGTCGTATTACACCATCTAGAGGCGCATCGTGTTCGTGGTGACATGAGGTGAATGGCACTAACACCTACACCAAAGAAAGACCTTTTACTGATGGATGTTGGGTTGTGCTTCTACTGTCAGGCCGCCATTATCGGAAGCCGAATGGAGGCTGGGGATGGAGCCAAGAAGGTCAAGCGACCCCGATCGCAGTTTGCGGCCGACAAGCTGCGCGAGTTTAAGATTCAGGACATCGAGGTAAGCTCATTGTCACGTGGTCTTCCAAGTTCAGCCTGGCTTCCGATCTGTCACTTTGGCAGTCGTCGGAAGATTTTGGAGTCTGTCAGAGGCGGACTTTTGCCGGGCAGACGATAGGTGCTGGATTCGAATTTAATGTCAGCCGCAGGTTTCCATGACGGTATGAATGAAGGTTGCATATGCTTGTATACGAAAGACAGAGTCGGGATTGATGCGTGTATTCGTGTTGCCGTGGCAACCAAGGGCGTATTTATTGTCGTACGTCATACCGAACACACCGTGAACGACTGGCGTAGAGGCCCTTATTCCAATATCATTTTACTAGTTTTTATTTCATCTTTTTTTTCATGCTTCATTTCCTACTAAAACAGTGTACCGTGAAGGTATACTTGACAATTGTATATTTCAGTCACTGCGCATTGCTCGAAGCACATTTCATATTTTGAATTGTTGTTTTTGTGAACACCTTGTTTGGTGTCTAAACTGTTGCTCCTACAATAAATTATAAGTGTGTCCCTTTTTGGCTTCCTTAAACTTTTACGTTCACTGAAGAATGGCCACAGATGCACAAACGTCGTTACCCAGCACAAGACATTTTACAAAATAGAAAAAGGTGTAGCCCCTACACTTCAATGGGAAGGGACAGAATCATCACGGGATAGAATATTAACATGGGAGAGAGTAAAATGTGACAAAAGTAATCGTCAATGTGTAAGTTTAATTTCCTTGGAGCAACAGTTTTACCATCCCCCATTGATATTGTAAAAATACCTTCACATTCCATGTTATTTGAAATGTGTATATTTGACAAATTGGTTATTTTTGTACATTCTAAGTCATATTTTGACGCGATCACCACTTCCTTAAGCATCATTGTTCCTGTTTGTAAAGTGATTCTTTCTTCTTCGACTAAGCATTCACACAATACATCATTGCATTTACTGAGACAATTATGTTTTTTGTAGCTCGTTTGCATGATTCATCCGTGTTTCATTGTTTTACACACAATGGTATTCTGTTTTCAAAAGAAAATGTGAAAGCAACTTTGTTCTGATTTTGATCTCATTAGTAGACGTGATATGTCTTACATGGCCTTTCTCTCCTTCTCTGGTTTGACATTTTCATTGATGTTCACTAATCTATTTTTGTTGTCAAAACACTTGTGATATATTCAATATGCCTGACTATTACTTGCAGTGAAAACTGTAGTGTGGTGGTGTGTTATTTCTGTTTCGTTTTTTTAAATCTCATAAATATTATGTTGGTGTGGTATTAATAAAGTTTTGTTTTCAGCTTTTAACATTTGCACCAAATGTCTTTTTCAGCACTTTGCCTTCTGCTTACCCCCATGCTTATAAATGAACTCTATTTCTATTTGTTCATGAGGTTTTCTTCATGCTTCACACATTTTGAGCTAGGTCTCGACATGCAATCCACCTTGATACACTGTTGGCAACCCTCGATGATTTGTTAATTAGAATGTGATACGTCACAGTGACCCTGTCTGCATCTTCCAATATCTCCATGTACTTGCTTTGCTTTTCATGTGTTTCTATGATAAATCAAAAGACCGAAATCCTAGGCTCCAAGCAATATTTGACATTACATCTGGCTTTCTGAATATTAGTCCTAATTGCGAAAACTGACGAATAACATAAGTGTTGTTCTTAAATATTATTTTCATTAACCTTCGAACAACACAGCCCATAATGTAATATATTCCTTCTCTTTCCATTTGCAACCCAACTTTCATAAGTGCATATTTCTGCACTTTTCATATTAATATAAAGATATGTTAGCCTTTGTTAAACGACTTCTCACTGACCTCTCTGATTGCTCTGTTGGAAATGCTGAGCATAATTAGACAAACATTTTCTAACAACAATAATGATAATAATTATATAGATCTAGTCATGAGAAAAGTCTACGTCCATCCCCTTGTCGAAATCTGGTCACTGTCCCTGGCTGGGATAATGACGTAGATTCTCCTACGTAGAGGCTGAACTCTCTATTTTCAGGAGGGGGTTTACTATCGTCCAGCCAATGCATCTGGTTCCCTCCGTGCATCTCGACCCCCATTGGTAAGTTTAGAGTTCTCCCTCGTGAATACATTGACTTTGCGCATGTTCGTACACACATTCCCTAAACACTGAAAAGCAAATAAGAAAGCTATTCTGTTTATTCGACGATAAACTCTTTATAGCGTTGTGTTTCCTTTTCTTTTTTCAACAAGTATGTAATGCTGGCAATTTTTATTTCAATTGTTTACGACACATTCCACAGTCCATACTGAAACAAAAGTACAGTTTTGCTGAAAAACCGCAGTTAGACCATACGGCAAATGTTATTACTTTAAACCACACAGAGAGCCCTCTATAACTAGCCTAAAATAAGTATAGATCTACTCGACATTTTTTCTTCTATTATACAAAGGGCCAAAACTGGTTGAGATAAGCAACTATTTTGACAGTGCACCTAGCTTAACTTCATCTTCTACTTTTTAGGTATCAGCTTTCTCCCCAACAGATCTAACTGTTTTCCATTTATTTCCCACGAATAAAGATACCACTTTGCTATAATTTCGCACGAATATGGGAGGGTACTGTTCGATTGTTATCCCCAAGAAATCGTGAAGATGTGTGCATTTGTGTGAGATTGAGTGTGTCTCCCCATGTGTCCTTTTATAAGAGAAATTATTGTTTTGGGTGGTCACTATTTCACATTCGAGGGTCACCTTCAAAAGTAGTAGCTGCACTGTGAACAATTTGAAATTCCTTTAAAGAGTAGGGAGGGGGTGAAAGAAAGGAAGTTTGGGGGAGGTGTGTGTGTGTGTGTGCCTGATGGTGTGTATGTGTGTTTGTGTGTGCGTGTGTATGTATGTATGTGTGTATGCGCGTGTGTGTGGTGTGTATGTTGTTGTGTGTTTGTGTGTCTGTATGTGGGTGGGTGCGTGTATGCTTATGTACACACCTGTGTGTGGTGTGCATGTGTATGCTTTGTGTGCGTGCGTGTGTGTACGTGTGGGTGTGTGCATGACTGCCTGTGAACTTGTGTTTTGGGTTTAGACTGTATCCACGTTCCTTCTTTCAAAGTAGTACCCCTTGAGCCGAAGTCTAATTAGAACTCTTAAGACTACCTAATAGGACAGTTCTAAGTAACAAATAACTGAGGTTTTTTTAAAGCAAACTTTAAGACCTCGTCTGTTTAAGACATCATCCCCCAAAGAAAGCCTGCAGTCCTGCTATCTAAAAAGGTGTAAGACAATGTACTTTGTCAGATGAAGGCTCACACCAGTCACGATAGATCATTTTTGCTCCCCACAACGCATGCATTTCCACCTTATTGCCCATCAGTATCTCAGCACCCTGTTTTGAATTCAAGTCATAACTCGCCCTTATTATCCCACACAAACTGTTTTGATATAGCAATGTGAGTATTAGAGCCCACACTTACGATTCCAAAAGTGCTCCACCCCCCCCCCCCCAACTTACTGTTACAATGAGCACAGGTATGAAGACAGGGGACGTTGAAAAGGAAAGAACAATGTGGAAACGAATCTGCTCGAGACAGCATTTGAAGCTCGGAGTAGTATATTGTATTCTCTCAGCTGCATGTATGTCACTGTAATCTCGTTGACGAAGGAAACCTTCTCACAGTATGGAAAAAAAACACTTTGGTGAGATCTGGCATCCCGACTCCAGTCAAAATACTTTGGTTTCTTACACTGAGTCAAACAACGTTGAGCTTTCAATATCATCATAGTGTAGCAATGTATTCTGGCAAAGAAGACCGAAAATGCCACCATTATCTTTTCATAGATAAAGGCGTTTGAAATGTCTCCGACACTGATAAAGACTCACGTGAGACACCTTTGGAGTGACTTGAAATCGAATTGTGAAATTTTGATGATATCTAATGGCCTTGAGGGGGTGGGGGGATGATTACTCCCGAAAAAAAACGCCCCTCTCTTTATGTACCTGATGTTGTGTGCCCTGAAAAAAAAACGTCCGTAGTGTTTTCTGAGTATTCCAAATATATCGTCTATCCATCGAGTACATAGACAATCGAGAACTTTCCGTTCCTTTAAGACTGAGAACGTACCAATCCTTTGGCGATACCGGTATGCGACAAAAGTTAATCCCTTTCTGACTTTCTGGCAGAAGATCATTGTGAAAAGGGGCGGTGGGTGAGGGGTTGAGCTTGATAAGTGCAGGCTGTAACACCACATTCCTTGTCTTTGTACACAATGGAATATGTTTAGTGTCCAAAAATATGATACCTTTGTGCAGTGGCCGTTCTCCCTTATTTGTTCCCCATCACCCTTTGACTGGATCCCTCCTTCCCTTTCCTTTACCTCCCACCTTCTAGCCAAAACAATCGGACAGAAAGGCAATCAGAGACGTAGACGGTTTCACAAAACCTAGGAACGTCTATTCCTGGCAGGTAAGCCCCTAGGGTCTCGCAATCAGAATAAAGTGTGTGTATAATGGGGAAAAGCTTAATGCAATAGTTCAGTGTGGAAATACAGTTCCTAATATTATATTTGTTACAACAAGGAAGTGCCCAACATTGTTGCATTTATAGAATAAGAATAATAAATCTATTTCAACTGTCATTTTTTTCTGGGTCGTGAACTCGGCATAAAAGTTCAGCCCAGATATATCTCAAAACGAAGACACGTGTGAATGTTTTGTAGTGCATCCATTTTATTTGATATCATCTGAAAGGTTAAAAATAGGCGTTCATAGATCACTGACTGCCATTGTTTCTGAAACCGTTGTTTATTAGACGACTGAAGGCGGAATGAAATATGTTAGTTACTGCTGACATCACAGTTCCCTGTTGATATAGATTTAGATTGAATGCGAAAAGAAAAAAGTATTAAAACCCATCAAGATTACTTTCCCTGTATCCAACTTGGTTATCCCACCCCAGTCACCAGGAAGTGTACAACTGTAAATGTAAACCCCAAAGTGTTGTTTTACTTTCAAGTTTGTACACTTTTACAATTTTTAATTTGATACTCTATCAGACAAAAAGTTCAATTCTTTTGATCAGAAATTGTAATCTGTTATTATGCTACTGGTGCTCCTCTTATCATTTAAAGTTGTAAAAACAACCCGTGTGTCTTCGAAACTTAGACTTTAAACTTGTTTTATGGTACCGTAATTGTAAAAAGAGTATCACCTCCCCAAAATAGAAACTTGCTCTTGGTTTTGTCACATTTCTGAAAATTTCGCTACTGACTTTCTATCACAGAGTTGTTATGTTAGCAGATATGTTCGCTTGTGGCATTTCACACCACTTAACAGAGTTACGGGTTATTAAGGGTATTTGAAAATGTGCATAAAAGAACTCTAGGTAAAAATTTAAAAAATAAAAAAAACCCAGCTGGAAATGGAATGCTCCTCATTTTGGATATGATAAGAATATGTCCCCAGTTAGTTTCCATAGCCATATCTTGTGTTCCCCAAAACCATAACACGAATTGTATGTATGTGCTCCCGTGCTCCCCCCACCTCCCGTGTGGACGACCACCCCTCCCCCTCCCCCCTCCCCCACTCCCTGTACACAGTACCGCGTGGAGTCCCGGCTCAGCCCTGACGATCTTATCTACCAGCCCTCTAGTTATATCCGACTCAGAGAACAGGTGCGGGACGTGCAAGAAAAGATGGACCGCCAACGTCAACTGCTTGATCGCTACCTTGACACTGATAATATGTCAACAAGCACCTATCGCAAGTACGATCATAGCAGCCTTGTGACTGTCCACTATTCTCTGCAAAAAAGGGGTTGCCGGAGTGCATGCGCAATACAAATCATACCCACTAATTTATGTTTCTTTCTCAGCGCCTGCTGCATGGTCCTGTCTGTCTGATCTGATGCCGGTGTGAACGTTTATTTATTATCACTTTTTTTTAAAAAAGAAACTGTCCGTGCATGGAATTTCCCACTGCGATACATTAATTCAAATTCTTGTACATACTAATTGTATCATCCTCCACAGCGTACTTTTATTTCTGTATTGGAACTCATTCATTTATTAGCGTTGGAACGTCTATCACTATTGGTTGTTTTTCTTTTCTTTTTGAATGCACATGTTTACTTTATGTTCATTCTGCTTATTGCAAGCATCTTATTTAAAGTATAGATCTATGATGTATTTGAGATTTCCCGTGTTGGTATACAAATACAATCTCCACAGTTTCCAATGTGACAATATTGTGTCAAATCCCATTCACATAAATTCTGTTGTCATTCTCCTCTATAATACTATAGGGAATGTTAAGGTACATTTCGGCATTGCCGGAAAAGAGGCTCGCCCCTTGGCATAACCATGTTCAAATCACAGCCAGATCAGATCATGTTTAAAGTAGTACCGGAAGTGATTGTTTGTATGTCTACCCGCGGGAGATGTCAGATTCATCCGCCCAACTTCTGCCCTAGCTTAGTTCACTGGCAAGCACGAATGAATGGCTTACATAGAAACTAGGTCAAGTGAAAACAGTATAACAGAATAATTTTTAAAAAACACCTCCCTGCTTCCCCCCTGTTTTCTATCAAAATGTTCTTTGTATTATAGTTACTGTGTCTGCAAGTAGAAAGAGCTTGTCTTTTGTCCCTAAACAGTTTCCCTCGTATCCCAACGTGTAGACATCTGACTTGTAGTTGTCCCTCGCAGTGGCTCTTGTGGGGTTCATTGACAGACTAGTTAGGCTAAGATGAAAAACATTCTGTAAGTATGTTAGTGTCAAAAGGGTGTCGACTCTTCTGACTTTAAAGACGTCAGCTGGCAATAGACTTTCGATACATAAGGTGTAAAAATTGATAACTTGTTCGCTTAAAAAGGCGATATTTGTTGGCATAGCTGAGTAGTCAACCCTGGTTTAACTTTCGGGTTTCCGAGGTATTATAGTTTCTTCTCGTCCTTAATGGGGTAATTCCTCTGTGAATATGTTGGGGAACGAAGTTCTCCGCTTTCACTTCAAAGTGACATTTTATTATTCTGTGTTTTATACGACTTCGTACTTCAACAAAAGATTCTCTCAAACCTCTTAAAACTCAAGCACTAGGGCCACGCGGAGCATAGTTAAGCTCTCTGGCATGTCTAGGTTTGGCATCAGCCCAGACATTAACCGTTCTCTGCTCTCTCCTGTGCCAAGCCTCGCTACTCCTGCTCCAGCCTGAGACGGGTGGTGGCCAAACGAGCCCGGCCGGTGTTTAGACCACGCCCCCCTCCCATCTACGTGCCACCGGTGAGACTCTCCTCGCCCAGGCTGCATCCTGTACCGAAACTGAAAATTGCTGATCCAATGGAGACCAAATTTAAAGAAGCATCCGTAGCTTCTATCAGGTATCTCGGTGTCAGCCCATGGAAATGACCCAGTAATAATATCTATCCAATTTTGACAATTGCATACTCTACCCACTTTGGTCCCACCTGCTCTGACATCCATCAGAGACAAATAACAAGAAACCCTGTTTAAGACCATTCCTAAGCCCGAATACACCTATTAATTTGTTTGAGAAAATTGATACCAATGACACCCTTATGTAACAAGTTACGAACCTCTCTCCCTCTCACTGAGCCTCCGAAGTTGTATCAATACGACGAAAAAGCTCGGCATTTAACTTTACCCCTCCCCCCCCCAAAAGTCACCCCCTTCCCAACCCACCTGAACCATTTTTTTTCATTGACATCCCGTACGCCTGTCTTATAAAACCTGTCCCCTCACTCCACCCACCACAAACCGCCGAAAACCTCTCCGGTTATACTCACCTGGTCCGTTGCTTCCATTTGATTGCTCCCTATACCCAATCTCCAGACAATGACCTTTGATCTGCAAGAGTTACCCCCCCCCTAACCCACAAAATTCAGCACATTATATTATATCACAAGCTCCACGAGAGCCAGCACTCTCTGACCGTAAACGCATGCCCAAATGAATGAATTTCGATGATTGTTTCTGATCCCTTTTTACTCACCACTTTAGTTTGTGTACTATCAGACAAGATGCTTTTTTGTGTTGTGGGACATATAGATGTAGCACATATAATTATTATTATATTGTTCATGCATAAACTCTTCTTGAGGTCGAGCAAGGTCGTTCGTTTGTTTTTTCTAGATTCTTTGGCTTTTCATTCTCTCTCTGTATCTCTTTAAGATTTTTGTTTCTGTTTCAAAAACTTCAGTTTTCATAACGTTCTGACAAACCAACCATTATTTTCTTTTAAAAAGTTAAGCAAAACAAAAAAAACACATTAATGTGAAATAATAAGAGAAAGAGAAATGTGATTATTCTCCTACTTTTATTCAGAAGCGTTCGTTGTGTTTTTGTTAAAGAGGTTCCTATCTCTTCCAATAATGATTTGCATGGTTGATCCTTTAACTTGTTGGAATGTTCACAATTAATACTATTTTACTGTAATAATGTTAAATTCACTAATGTCAATACCTCAACGTGTAACTATGAAATATTTATTTTTATATTGCTGAACAGATTTGTTAAACTAAGACTTAATCACGCCGTTTGGTTCTGGCGTCTCCAGATGTTGATGTTGATAATATAATGTTTAACTCAAAGCTAATTCCTTTGGGGTTTTTCAACTTGAAAGTTATTACAATATGCGTCACTGCCATCAGACTCTGGTGTTCAAAAACAGTTCAACGCCAATTCTTATTTTTACTTCAGTCTGATATCCTAAAACCACGTTCATTGTAACTCATTATACGTACACTTACAGTTAACACACCTGTTGCAAGCCCATACTTATAAATGTGTTTGATTTTTCTGACGCCTACAAAATCTCGAGAAGCGTAGAAGCAGAGTGGAAGACCCCAATACAAAATCAGCTTTCCCTTTTTACCCTCGCAGTTCCAGTTACCACACTCCATGTATTAGAAAAAACACTTAATCTATGACACGTTGAACTTTTCAGTTGCCTTCTTTTTAAATTAACTTTTAGTGTGTGTATTCTGCTAGTACTTGTACATTTGGTTTATAAAAATCAAGAATTAAATCGCGCTGTCAGTTTGCTTTTGTGATAAGGGGGCTTTTAAAAGCTAAGCAGTGTTTTAGAACAACAGACGAGTATGTACGTCATTAAAGGAAAGCGCCTGTTAACTACTTGGCAGATACGCAAGTGACTAACACAATGCCATTGAATAACTTGTGGTTATTATTGCTGCAAGCCTTCTTGTTGCCGCCCGCTGCTGTTGCTCTCTGTGCATTGGTAAAAACAAAAACAAAAACAACTCATCATTCTGTATCTGCAGGAGCGAAGGAGGCAGTTCGGTAAAAATACCTGCTTATTATGCTGTAAGTGTTGGCTTGGCATGTGCTTACTTACACCACCACGACTTTGGGATGAACCCCCACCTCCCAACCTCCACCCCACCCCTGCCCCACCCC